TTTTACCAAAGTCCGCAAAGCTGCCACAGCGTTGGCGCAATCGTTGGATGTATCGCCACTTATTGATTGAACTTTTACAAGAGGTTGAATAAGAGGAATAAGAGGACCTACGCTCGCCCAATAGCGCATGCGCTTGGAGATGCGATCAGAGGACACTCCTGGCGCGGCGACCCCGCCTGCCCCCGCCGCGTCACGTACTCGTCGACCCTAGAGGCACGCCCGCTTACCTTTCTTTCAATTTGTTTTTACTTAACTGCATAACCCATTTAGTGCAAGGGCCTTCTCCTCGCGCCGAGAATTATTGATTATTCTTTAATGAAGTGATAGGATGAAATTCAAGGGATACATCCATACCCGTGGCTGGATTCAGTCCCACGATCCTTCGATCCGAGGTCGCCACGACACTTTAGCAAACTCGGCTATCTGGCTCGACGTCCCTTTATCTTACGAAGTTACAAAGGTCATCTGCTTGGGTTGCTCTAGTCTCCGTCTACATGACTTCGTGTTCTGTCTGGGTAATGTAATAATTATTGATGTTTTTGAATTGAACATTTTTCGATACCGAATTGCAATTCTAGGTCGATAAAAATTCTTTCGAGTGACTCTGAGCTGCTTTAGTCCCTGTAATGTCCTTGAGTACTGCTTGAAGTACACTATATTTAGAGAAGACTACCACTTTAAAAAATACCTCTGTGGATTCTTTATTTCTTCATGATGACTCTTTTATGATTTGATGAAATACGTTTAGCTGTTTGCCTGTTATTCATTTCGCACATCAGAAATCTTACTATTATATGGTTAATACGATACATTTTAAAACATACAGCAGGCAGAAATGTGGGATCATATTGAATGCCGTTTTCAAATCAATAAAACAGGTATGGAAATCGCGATTTGTTGAGATACAAGCGCCAAAAATAATTCAGATTGGCGCCTAACCTCAAATAAAACAATTATAATCTCTCCCTTTCTTAATTAAGTAAATTAAGAACTAAGGGTGAACATTTCAAACGTGGCGCGTACTACGTAGTTAATTTTTTCTTAAAAAACCGTTACAGAGAAAAATTCTAAGAGTAACACTTTCAACTGCTTCGCAACATAGCTAGAGGGCGCAGCACCTCCGAACAGCTATCTCTAGATACAAGGATTCTACGAACTAGGGACTCTACGAACAGCCATCTCTGAAGCCATTTATCAAGAAGGTTATTGACACCCAGGCAATTTCTGGGAAGACGCAGTTAATACGCATTGTTTAAATCAACAATCGGGCCAGTTGTGAATGGGGTCATACATGAAGTGGGAGACATTTTTGCAGACTTCGGCGTTATTATTCATTAACTCGATGCTTTATCCAAACTCAGCGGCGACATAAGTATGTTGTCCGTGAGTAATCTTGCTTTCGCGGGAAAGGTTGATGAAAGCGTTTGAACGGACGCGAATAATGTATGAAGAAATATTAGAGAACTCACAGGACAGAATTCTCGATCGTCAGAACCAGGTAAAGCGGTTTCTATAAGGCCATCTCAACAATAGATTCGAGGTTTCCCATCCCGCGAATGTAAATCACCGAATTTCGATGCCTCAACACGATTCTTTTAAAACGCGTGAGATAATCATAATGTCGATCCCAAGCAGCTTTTTACATTCCAATCAATCCTCGCAATCTTTCTGAACCTTGGAAATTATATTGTTGTTCAACTAACTAGAAATAACCAGTTAGGATGTTATATAATGCATTGAAGAATGTGCGAGGTTAAAATTGTCCGTGGCCTGTGTCGGAAGGATTTGGGTTGGGTATGCGTGGGGAAGTTTCCGGTGGACAGTAAAGTGCAGAAAGTGGGTTCGTAATTGATTGGAAAGGGAAGAAGGAAATTTTATTACTTTTATTTATGGTCTTATTACTTTCTCATATACATATTACATATACACGGAGAAATATTTGGCGTATAGAGAAAATCGAGTTTTCAACGGTAATACACGGTTTGGGGCCCCCAGATACCGAAAAACTGTTCTTGCTGATGTTTTTTCGAAATGTCAGTCCGTCCGTCTCTCTCTG